CCAAGTTGTCAATAAAAATTTAGTTGGCAAAAAATATGATAATATTTAGTATACTAAATAATAATATAAAATTAAATTATAAGATAATAAACCATACGTTTATATGACGAAAATAAAAATTCAATTAGAAAATTAGATCTTTAGATAGAAACACATTATGAAATCAGGCCTTTTGCGATGCTTAAAAGATACGAGTCCTACGTAAAAAAATAACATGTTACAGAAGATAATTAATTAAATGTCTCGTAACAATTACATAAAAGTATTTAAAATTTAAAATGGTTGAACTCATTGTTCGTGAAGATGTAGTTGCTGTCTGATGAAGTTGTTGAATGAGTCAAGAAGTAATACAAGATTATGTCTGATGGAATCGCTGAATGATTCAAGAAGTGATTCAAGAAGTAATTCAAGATGCGTCCGTTTTTGTGTGAGTGTCGGTTTCTAGAAGGTTTGAGAAGATATGTTTGGACTTTGGAGCGTGTTTAGAGGATATATGAATCACAAAGGAAAAATAACCTTAAGAGATTTGGAAGACTTGATGAAAGTGGAGTTTGATGAGAAAAAGGAAAAGTATAAAAGGAAATTTATTTTTCCTTATGGAAATTAGAAATCTTCTCCTATGGTGATTAGGAAATCGTTTTGGCTATATAAGGAGGAGTTGAGGACGTCTTTGAGAAGCAAGAGAGCTGAAACATAAAGAATAAATCTTTGAGAGGTTTCTGTGAGATTTTGTGCAACTTAGTTTTGCGGTTTTGTGCTTGTGTGATCAAGTGGTTTTGTTTTGAAGTCTAGGCTCAAGGAGAGTTTAGCTCATGGTTAGGTTATCCTGATTAAATCTAGACTCAGGGGGAGTTTAGTTAAGGGTAGAGATTATCCTTAAGGTTTCTCGTTATAGAAGGGAGCGATAAATTAAGAGGGTTGTGCTTGTTTTACGCGTTTGCGAATTGGTTGTAATTTGCTTTTTTATTCTAGTGAAATCGAATCTGGACTTGGTTCTGGGGAGTAGGAAAAACCGAATCTCGTTAACAAATTTCTTGTCTCGTTTACTTTCCGCAATTTATCTTACCTCATCCGCACTTACAGTTTGCTCTCGACATTAAAATGTTTTTGTAAATAACGACTTTCCATTGCCATTGCACCTAATCGTGTTGGTCTTTATTTAAGTGGAATAAAAATGATCTTGACTTGTGATAAGAAAAAAAATGATAATGACATGTGAACTAATCGATCTGTCCCCTTGTATTAAAGAAAAAGAGTTGAAGGAGATTTGGTCTTATCAAAGGGACAACTAGTTAACACATCTTTATCAAAAAAAAAAACTAGTTAACACATGCTGTGACTGCTCTCTATTGAATCGGGATACCTAAAATAGTAAATATACATCTCATGCCGTTTGTATTTGCATACAACGTCAAGATCCTATGTAAAGCATCTTGCTTGCTGGTAATTTGTTTTTTTTTCTTAAGTGTAGGACGTTGATAATTTGGGGATGCAAAAAAAAAAAAAACAATAATATATAGAGATAGTGATCCAAAGAAAAGCTAAATATGTCCTTAATTACTGATAGACTTGTTACATTTAAGGTTGGTCAAGAAAAATACGAGAACTGTTCGTTTAAGATGTATTCAAATTATTTTTGATGATCCTATACTATTATTTGGGGAGTACACTTTATAAGAAACCCTTAACTAACCTTTTCTTTTGTAAAAAATTACATGAGAATGCCATTAGAAATAAAATTTTATAGAGTAAATTAATTCAACTCATTAAGGATAAACAAGTCAAATACTATTTTATGCAGTTTAATTATAAAACGAAAATCAATTATTAATTTCTTTAAAAAAAATGACCAATCAAAATGAACATATAAGATTTGATATCTAACTTACCATATTTATTTGTTATTAATCATTATACTTCACCTCTTATCTTTATATGATTCTATTTCTATAAATAAATAAATCATTATATCATTTATATAATATAAAAAAAAGTAAAAAATTTTCCGCATATACCAAGATTTGAATTTTTAAAAACGAATATAAATTATTCAATGTATGAAAGAATAAATTTAACGGGTCAAAAATTCATATTTGAGTAATATATTTCTTTTTTTTAATATCATCAATACTTAATAGATCAAAAATTTATGAAGTATAAATACTCTAATTTGATTTTTTGAAACAAATATTTATAACTAGGTGATTGCCCGCGCAAATGCGCGGGAAGAATGTTGTATGAATGGTAAAATCATGTGAAATAAGGGACTGTTTAGGTGTTACTTGGTAGTGTAAGAAAAATATGGTAAATTGTTTAGGGTTTAGTGTGGTAAAAATATGGAAAATGATGAAATTTAAAAAATTCAATAATATTATAAATGCTAAGAAAATAATAATAAATCATCTTTTAAAACCATTCACCAAGAAAATAAGAAATCAACGAACATCATCACTCCATGGCATTCTCCTTCCGTGTGATGATCGGTACTTGGTCATTTTCAGGATTCCTGACATCCGATTTAGAACACCATAAACAGTGAATGTCCAGTCGCCAACTTTAGAGTTTTGATTGTAAACGGAAAAAAAATACTTACCAACAAAGCATCTCGTCGGTAATACTGAGATCCGGATTCAACATAATCCTCGTACTTCCGGTAACATTGGTACATCTCCACCTATGTTCCTGTGATAGCTCTAATTTCACAAACTTGATAATACATATCACTGTGTTACGTGAACGATGCTTCCATAAGTCATAGAACTCGACTGCAAGGTCACCCGTTAAACGACACTCTAGATGGATACACCTAATTTTAAGATTTGAAGAAGTCATAAGACTTTATATTCTGGTTTAAATTTTTAAAAGAATAGTGACTTACTCAGTATCACGTAAACCAAAGTACAACTCAAAATATCCTCCTTGAGAATGTTCCACGGAAGGAACAAAAACCAACTCTCTCACGTTGACAATTTTGCCAACAACATCTATGAAACACACACATGAATAATACAGTCAGAACATGAACCGCAAATAAACTCCAAAAGCAAAAATAAATTTATAAATTAGGCTTACCAACGCAAATATTCGGATTAACAATACCACTCAATATACTCACAAACTCAGTTAGATTGAAATTGGTTCTACTGGAGCACATATTAATACTTTGCACTGAAGTGTCCGAGCGAAACACAATCTTGAATCTATGCGGTACTGGTCTCAATATGCTGTTAACCCGTGATACATCAAAATTTTTAATGCTCACCCACTCATCGATTATCAATCTTGAAAGATAATTATCAATTAATTCATCACGAACAACGGCTTGGATTTGGGTGAACTGCAAATAAAACGTTAAAGACAAAACCAATTCAATTTCATATCGAAAACATGTATAGAAGGTAAGTTATCAAAAAACTAACATGCTCGTCACCCAAAATCATATTGAGCTCTCTACCCGAGCCACGCGAAACAGACCAACAATTCAAAATCTTCACCGAGACAGACCACTCACCCATGTTAGGGTTAAGAGACGCAATATGAAAATAACCACCATCACATGAATCAGAGGTAAAAGGTATCATTGTAGAACCCATATCAAAAGATTACGCGGCTAAACAATCCAATGAGGTATAAACGCGCGATACGTATATGTAGACCTAACGATTATTTGGAAAGAACATAAAAATGGAAAATATATATTAAAAACTAAATCAGAAAATTAACAAAAACGAATATTGATTAAACGATATAGAATTTATCCATAAGATTAATAAATTAAGTTTAGAAAAAAGAAACTAAATCTCAACAGTTAAACTGAAATATATACTAACGAAATTTAAGGGTAAAAATATATCACTCTATTATCAACACCATAATAATAATATATACAAATGGTGTAAGTTATTAGGCACGCAAATAAAGTTCCATTTTACCTAACGACGGAAACCGAAACCACACGATGCATTTTGAGGAACAACTTTTTTGAATGAGTAATACAAACAAAAAATAACCAATGACAAGCTATGTATGTCACCGCAAACAGAGTTTTTAACTAATATCGTATAACATCTTTCAGACTAAATTACCAAAACTCACTAAAGCGAAATATATATAGAACCATAACGCATATCCAGAAACTATACTATATAAATAAAATTGTAACTATTAAAAATGTCAATTTAGTATTTAACACAATCGATGCATATCAAAACAATATCCCTAATTGTAGAGATTTTGTTTATTATTAAACGCTATTTTTCATAATCGCGATAAAATAATATTTTTTTCTCTCTCTTCGGTCGTGTTGATGTAGTATCAGTTTTTTTTTTTTTTTGGTTCTTTTTGTTTGATTTGCTTATATATAATAGCGTGAATAATAATAATAAAACAGAAGAGAGGGTATATATTAAAATGAAACGAAATATCTAAAAGCAAGTAGATATATAACCACCATCATCGAACTATAAAATACGGTACAGACGACGTCAAATCGTAACTGGTTATTTTTCTAATTATTATTACAAAACAGTACAGTTAATCCCATTCAATTTTTACCGCATACGAACATAATAAAAAAATTACAGAAGAGATAAGCGATGATAACCTACACGCATCGGCTATGTGTCGAGAAACATGATGACAGTCGTCGGGAGTTTTAAGTCTTTGTAATAATGATAGCAAACACAGACGCATTATGTTCAACTATCAAAGAAAATTACGCATAAACAGAAATATTTTAGTTCACCTTTTTATGTCATTTTTTACCCTTGAACAATGTTATAAATGAATATCTTAAAAAAAGTGATACAGCCACAAATACATGTAGTTAAAAATTATGGATTACGCGGTACTTCATATATAATTCGCATTACGAACATGATATAGTCGATAATCACATTAAATACGCAAGAAAGAACAAACTTAATTAAAATAACAAATTCATAAATAATAAATCATAAAGGTTAATAATTCCCAAAACGATAAAATGATAAAATAAATAACACCAAGACACTATTATATTGATAGTATTAGGTCGAATAGTAAACAAATACCGAAACTATAACAACGATAAAAATAAAACCAAGACAACGATAACAAATCTAGGCCAATATCACATTGACATGTCATCACATTTGTAAGTTAAGAGTCGGCGAACTATACCAAGACGCACACCTTCAAAACCGGCATGATGGAATCCAAGATCACCCATCACCTTACGCATAACACGAAAACCATACCACTCTAATTGCACATCGGATAACTCCAACCCTAATGTAATAAAAAGCAACACCTTTTTGAAACACAACTATCAAGTCAAACAACATCAATAAGTATTTAGTATTGATAGATTAATATCAGGATTATTACGCGCGATCTTCTGTTCAGCCAACACATCACCACTCAAAACTCGATAGCAAGCGTTCCATACTGTCTGGACATTAATGCTTGTATAGAGTATCAACGATTCAGCAAAACGAAGGCGTAGATACGCCGGACATAAACGCCAACTACTGATAACAATATCATTAATACACTCAAGAGTATCTTCATTGGTATTCATTAAAATCTCATCACACTCAAGACCGTCAGACGGGTATGGCTTCATACCAGCAGCGACAAAACGCTTCAAGATAATAATAGACAACACATTAGTATCTTATTACATGAATACAAACTAACTATATATATAATATATGTACATCAACTATTAGTAAGATAGATATAAATTATCTCACCCCATCACCAAAATACTTCATGCGCAAGTCAGCATAATTCTGGCAGATATACAAAATAAAGTATAACCAATATAATTTATATTACCAACATTTATCAAACACGTAAATCGGAACGAATGTCACCAAACAATAAATCGAACTGCACATTATATAGAGTTACCAATTAACCTTTTTAGTATGTATCAGAGGGTCCAATGATTTTGCCTCCTATACAAATTAACGAAGATATAAGTTTTTTTTTCTTTTTTTCCTTTCCTGTTTAAACTTCGAAACATACATATCGAATATCAAAATAGACAACATATAACAACCTGTAGATATCTCGACAATAGATATCTCAAGTATAGAGACTTCAACTGTGTCCGAGGTTCCTATATTATATTTGTCAATATTTATGGATTAGAATTTGTCAATATATGTAGAGTATAAATAGGAATAAAATGCGTAATATTATAAGTAAGAACCCAATAATAATATACCAGGTAAAGTACGGCCAAAACGTAGTCTTTATCGGCCGACAATGCACCTAGATCCGAAAGCACATCCTTGAACTTATTATTTACAAACAGTATAGCGTTAGATAAAGATAAAGTAGTTGAATCATACATTATATATTAATAATATATAACTACATAGTAACCAAGAACTTCAATAATTACCTCATCGAACGATAGAACTGCAGCACTGGCCTCGACATGCTAGGAATTCAAATAAATATAAAATTCAACATTGTGTTGTTAACATCAATATATAGAGACGATAAAAACGTTACTAATTAACGACCGTGTCAGATATATACCAGGACAGAAGAAAGATCAACTGCATCAGACACATCATCGAGATACTACATAAGAAAGAAACAATGTATTAAAACTATTTGTATGAGAATACGAATTCGCTATCAACATGGAGACGAAACAAACATGTTTGTAGCATACCTCTTTGACGTTTTCCTGCGTATAAACGTCAAATATAGAAGTTAGATTTAAAAGATTAAAAGTTAATAAACAAAAAGAAAAAACTAACACACATGATCAAAGGAATATATACCTCGACGTCAGGGAGACACGAAGGATCGGATGTAACATCCTTGTAAATAAGATAATAATACAATTATCAATTGATGTTAGATAAGAAATAATAATTAGTATATAAACTCATAAGAAACAGTTAGTTTTAAACAATCAATACGTACCAGAAATTGAGAAAGAACCCCATCACCGCATCCGGATCCCTATTCCAGTAATTAAATTAACTATATTAGATACCAATCATATGAACAATAAAAAACAAATCACACAGAAACAATACTACACATTAAACAGAACATAAATTATAACCGTATATTTCATTGTAGAACTTTTACAACAACGATAAACGAATGTCTACAATGTTCGACCAGGACACAATCAGTATTTATAGAAGAAAAGCATGTTGTACAGTTGGTTATGGTTTAGAAAAAATATAGAGATCTGCCATTATCTAGACAATTACAAATCAAGATTGTTTGGAATATTTCTGTATTTATCGCATAATATAAGTTAATATACCTAAATGGATACGTCTAACAACGATATTATACGATATCATCGCTAATACAAAAAGTAAATAACACTATATATATACATTTGTAGGAAGAAAATTTACGATTTTATATTATGGATCTACATACTATTTTTTTATATATATATATATATATAGAAATATACATATTATCTTATTTTGTATTTTGGAAAGTAGTACATTCTTTAATAAGGTTTGACCATGTTAGTAACCAAATCAGACGGTAGAGAATGAGAAGAGATCTCGATCAGACGGCGGCGGGGATCATATGTATCAAACCCGAACTAATTGATCCCAAAGCCCGACTATATAAACGAATGGACCATGAATTCAAAGAGATTAATGGACTGGCCCATGTTTTTTATAGACACGTGTTGATCGGACGGCCAATATTACTCGCGTCTAATAAGATGTTAATCTGACGGTCGCAAATAAAGTTGATTATTATAATAGGGAAGGCAGAGGTAAGTGTCCAAGTTAAGATCGGACGGTTGTGGTTTTTTTTCTGTTTTTTTTAGCTCGATCTAACGGTCCGAAATACAAAATGGAAAATTCTTATATTAAAAACTAAATCAGAAAATTAACAAAAACGAATATTGATTAAACGATATAGAATTTATCCATAAGATTACTAAATTAAGTTTAGATTAAATTACCAAAACTCACTAAAAGGGAAATGTCTAACAATCTTTCGAAATGTTAAAATCGATGACAAATGCCGACACTGTAATCCGTAAATTGAAAATAAACCACCCAAACGAAAAATACAGAGCCATACAAAATTAGGCCAATCGAGCTTCTTTGACGCCCGTCCTAGAACTCCCGCAGTAATCAGCCCACCATTCTTTTAGTTATACAACACCAGGCAGCGGAGCATCTACCATAATTTTAGAACAACCAATGTTTGTGCAATGCCACATACGATTAGACGTAGCCACTATTTTGGCAAATCTGATGATACAAACCACGACATCATCGGTGTTAACTTTCCACTGTCTATGAAATCTAACGGCGGTTTCACCGGTCAGTCTGATACTCAAACGCGTATGCCTACAAATTTATACCACATTTGACATTATTATGACAAATTCGTTGAGAGAAAACAAAATTATATATCTGTATAAGACTAAGAATCAATACTTTGTATCAATTAGGTCAAAATAAACCACAGAAATATCTTTCGAAGAGCCCACCATCTGCACGAGTTGTATGTCATTCACATTATCGACCCTCCCGACCAAATCTAAAGAAAACAATACAACGTAATGATTAGAGTAATTATGGGAAAAATCTAACCAGAAGAGAAACGAATATAGTCTCACCTACACAGATATACGGGTTACTTATACCCGTACGAATATCACGAAATCTCGCAAAGCTAAAGTAATCATAATCACAAGCGATGTAATTAAGATATTCGACACATGTATCAGGAGAGAACTGAATCTTGAATCTATGTGGAGTAGTTCTGACTAAGTCGACATCAGGGATTAACGAAAATTTTCTTAATATCATCCAGAGATCCTCAATCAGTAATGGCGTAAACCTAGTTACCAAACTTTCGCGAATGGCTGTAGATACGAACGTGCCTCCATCCATCAAGGAGTTGATAAACTTTCCACCAGCGAAGAACACACGTAACATCCGTACCAATCACATTTCTAAACCGATCATGGCACTCTATCGCCACTTCTCCATATGCACAACACTTGAGGGTCTTCTTCCTATTTATTAATCAAAATAAAAATGTATGTGAATCAATAAACATATTATATCATGATTTCAATAAATATATTATATTATAATTTCAAATAACCAACGATGAAAGAAATCGTACTCTTGATCTTCAATGGTGAATGAGTATCTGTATCCCCCTATGACAGATGGTTCATCGGTCACGTTCGTAAGATCACTCGCCTCGACGATCCGCCCAATCAAAGCTACAAGCAAATATCAAGATTTCTACATAAGCAAAACAAATAACTAAAACCGCAGAACGTTCTGAAAAGCATAACAAACTAAACTTACTTATGAGATAAGAAGTATCATGATATCCATTGAAAATAGCACCAAAAGGTGTAGCGACAATATAGTCATCTTGAGAAAACGAAGACGCTTCTTTAACGATAGTACCATCATAGAACATTATCTTAAAGTCGCTCCTTGTTAGTTTAGTGAATCCCGAATTCTCCACAACTCTGAAATTCATAATAGTGTAGAATTCATCTTCTTCAATAAACGTTGAATAATGAGAAGTCAACGGTGAACAAATAAGCGCTTCGATCTGATTACCCTGCATCACAAAACCAAAATCACAAAAGTCGGGAAACCGCAAACATCCATAACAACAAAGGCTAATACATATCTAAAGAAAAGCCAAATCTTATTTCGAACCAATACCTTATCATCAACCAGAAGTAACCCTAGCCCACCCTTTGATATATAGTCATCGGTGTGGAAGCGACGCAAAACCTTAACGTGAACATGCCATCCAACTATTGCAGGGTTCAACCGAGAGAAATCGTTGTAACGTTCAATAGAAGACGATGTAAACCGAGAAGACATATCTGCTTCTATGCGAAAATTCGTTATGCGGAGTAAGATAATGTTCTGCCCACAAAAACGTTTAACAACAAAGTATATATAGGGAACTAACCTAGACAGGGAAACGTCCCAACCCTTTTATTTTTATGTTCGATTTTCCTTCCTTTGTCACGACACGTACCGTCGCAACCCTTTTTTTGTTTAATAACATTTTGCGTGACATTTTTCATTTTATTTTCTTAGTATTTTTATTCAAAGATGGCAATATCCGATGGAATTTCCTTCTATTTAAAACCCAAAATGTATAATAGAAAATAAAATTAAAACAAAACAATTGTCGTAAACTGAAAGCCCAAAACAGTTAATAAAAGGAGAGAAAAATCCTAGAATCAAACTAACGAATGTTCTGGAATACTTCGTGATACACAACATTTTTAGTAGTCTTTTGAAGCTGTCCCCTATCATCTGTTATCAGTATCTTGAGGCCTTTCCTGGATGTGACTCTCGAAAGTGCAACGTACAATTGCCCGTGCGAAAAGACAGGCTTAGGTAGATACAAACCTACATTAGTCAAAGTCTGACCTTGACTTTTATTAATCGTCATTGCGAAAGCAACCGCAATCGGGAACTGACAACGTTTCATTCTAAATGGGAACCTCGTCTCGGTGGGACTCAAGTACATTTTAGGAATCACAACTATGTCTCCAACTCTCGTACCGGTAATAATTCTAGCTTCTATAACCTGATTCGCTAACTGAGTCACTTGTAATCTTGTACCATTACAAAGTCCATTCTTAGGATCAATATTCCGTAGAACCATGATTGGAACTCCGACTTTCAATACCAGCCTGTGATTTGGCAACCCCGAGACTTTGATGCTGTTTAAAAACTCGGGGGTATAAACCATATGATCTCTTTTGTCCGCATCCGATAATTCAATACTATCGCAACTAAGATAGACTCTCTCTTCACCTAACAACCCCGGGGCGTCAACATGAATGAAAATTAAAATAATAAACAACATTAAATCTACTACCAAACTAAAATAATAAACAACATTAAACATACTCTAGATCAATATATAAAAGTTTTAACATTAATTTTTTACCTTCCATGTGTGATAGCGCATAGTCGTTGATCACGCACACGTCATTATTTCTCGGAGTAAGAATAGCCCTTTCTTGGAAAAAAGAAAGTTCCTTATCCTTGACCAATGTTGACCCATAAACATTATGTACGATGGCTTTGATAGGATCACCACATTTAGAAATCAGCAAATCATCAGGAATCTCCACATCAGTATACCCATCGTCTGTAACGTTGATTGTACCATCTCCTATGTCAAGAATCCATTTTGCAAAATCTCTGAGTTCCTGTGCAGCATCATCCGAATTACCATCTAAAAGTCTCATGTTCTTGGTTAGCCTCAACAGTCTGCAACTTTCCCAGATATACGACGAATTAATAGTGGCCAAAACGGTTTCCTCTCTACCTGCACCACTGATTACTGGCAATATTTGTCTAAAATCTCCTCCAAAGACAATTGTTTTACCGCCGAACGGCCGATCAGTATTACATCTCATAACATCGCGAATACTACGATCCAACGTCTCAAAACAATGTCTGCTCATCATAGGAGCCTCATCCCATACAATTAAGCTAGCCTGTTTTACCAACTCACCGAGATGGGATGATGGTTTCATCGCACACATACTAAATTCATCAGCCGTTAGAGGTATCGAAAATCTTGAATGTGCAGTTCTACCTCCAGGCATCAGCAAAGAGGCTATCCCGCTCGACGCTACATTAAGAACAATAAGTCCAATAGACCTTAAAGCAGCCGATAAAATACTCCAGACGTACGTTTTGCCTGTGCCCCCGTATCCATATAGAAAAAAGACACCGCCTTTTTTATCCAAAACTGCCTGCATCACTTCATCGTAAACTATTTTTTGTTCATCTGTTATCGTCGCTAGGAGTCTCACGTGTTCTTTCGCTTCTTTTTCGTGGTTATAACCAAGCTCATCCAACAACAGCCGATTTGTACTCGCAAATGCGCGGAGATAATTTTGTGGCAAAGGTAAAATCATGAGAGATTAGGGAATGTTTAGGGTTTAGAGTAAGAAAATATGGGAAATGATGACAAAAAAAAAAACCGTGATATTATAAATGCTAAACAAATAAGACACTAATCATTTAAAAAAAAAAATTGCAAGACAATAAGAAATCAACGAACGTCATTACTCCATAGCATTCTCTTTGCGTGTGACGATAGGTACTTGGTCGTTTTCCGATTTAGAACACAAGAAACAATTAACGTTCAATCGCCAACTTTAGAGTTTTGATTGTGAATGAAAAAAAAAACAAAAAATAATTACCAACAAAGCATCTCGTCGGTAATACTGACTATTTATTGTCAAACTCATCAATCTGCAAATAATTTCTACGTTTATCAAGTTCTCTTTCATCGGATTGCAGAAAACCGTCAATTTTGTATCTCTTGTTTGGCTATCATGGTTATAGCAACACTCATCAATGAGCAAATAATTTTTACGTTTATCAAGAGCTCTTTCATTACGTTGCAGAAACCCATCAATTTTTTTTTTTTATATCATGGTTATAGTCAAACTCATCAATAAGCAAATGATATTTACGGTTATCAAAGACATTTTTATAACGATGCAGAAAACCTTCAATTTTACCTATTTTTCATTATAATTAATGGTTATAGCAAAACTCTTCAATTAGCAAATAATTTATACATTTATCAAGAGCTCTTTCATCAAACAGGAGAAAACCTTCGATTTTGATCTCTTTCTTTTTTTATTATCCTGGTTATAGCCAAACTCATCATCAACAAATGATTTCTACGTTTATCAAGAGCTTTTTCATGAGGCTGCATAAAACTATCATTTTTACTCTTTTTGTTGCAGAAAACTGACAATTTTACCCATTTTCCGTTATAATGGTTATAGCAAAACTCTTCAATTAGCAAATGATTTATACATTTACCAAGAGCTCTTTCATCAAATAGGAGAAAACCGTCAATTTTGCTCTATTTTTTTGTTATCGTGGTTATAGCCAAACTCACCATCAACAAATGATTTCTACTTTTATCAAGAGCTTTTTCATGAGTCTGCATAAAACCATCATTTTTGCTCTTCTTGTTTTTTTAACATGGTTATAAACTCATACATCAGAAAATAATTTCTACGTTTATCAACAGGTGTTTTATTAGGCTGTAAAAAAACTGTTAGTTTCGCTCGTTTTTTTTGTTATCATGGTTATAACTTATCTCATCAAGCAGCAAATGATTTCTACGTTTATCAAGAGCTCTTTCATCATGCTGCAAAAACTTATCAATTTTGCTCATTTTTTCGTTATAATAGTTATAACAAAACATTTTAATCAGCAAACGATTTCTACGTTTATCAAGAACTTTTTCATGAGACTACATAAAACCGTCAAATCTTCTCCTCTTTTTTGTTATCATGGTTATAGCCACACTCATCAATCAGCAAACCCATCAATTTTTTTTATATCATGGTTATAGCTAAACTCTTCAATAAGCAAATGATATTTACGGTTATCAAAGGCATTTTTATAACGATGTAGAAAACCATCAATTTTACCCATTTTTCTATTATAATGGTTATAGCAAAACTCTTCAATTAGCAAATAATTTATACATTTATCAAGAGCTCTTTCATCAGACAGGAGAAAACCGTCAATTTTGATATCTTTTTTTTTGTTATCCTGGTTATAGCCAAACTCATCATCAACAAATGATTTATACGTTTATCAAGAGCTTTTTTATGAGGCTGCATAAAACCATCATTTTTGCTCTTCTTGTTTTTTTAACATGGTTATAAACTCATAAATCAGAAAATAATTTCTACGTTTATCAACAGATGTTTCATTAGGCTGTAAACAATTTGTTAGTTTCGCTCATTTTTTTGGTTATCATGGTTATAGCCTATCTCATCAAGCAGCAAATGGTTTCTACGTTTATCAAGAGCTCTTTCATCATGCTATAGCAACTTATCAATTTTGCTTATTTTCCGTTATAATGGTTATAGCAAAACTTTTCAATCAGCAAACCATTTCTACGTTTATTAAGAGCTTTTTCATGAGACTACAGAAAACCGTCAAATCTGGTTCTCTTGTTTTGTTATCATGGTTATAGCTACACTCATCAATCATCAACTAATATTTACATTTATCAAGAGCTCTTTCATTACATTGCAGAAACCCATCAACTTCTTTTTTTTTTATCATGGTTATAACCAAACTCATCAATCAGCAAATGATATTTACGGTTATCAAGGACATTTTTATAAAGTTGCAGAAAACTGTCAATTTAACCCATTTTTCGTTATAATGGTTATTGCAAAACTCTTCAATTAGCAAATGATTTATACATTACTAAGAGCTCTTTCATCAAACAGAAGAAAATAGTCAATTTTGCTCTTTTTTTTTGTTATCCCGGTGATAGCCAAACTCACCATCAACAAATGATTTCTACATTTATCAAGAACTTTTTCATGAGGCTGCATAAAATCACATTTTTGCTCATCTTGTTTTTTTTTATCATGGTTATAAACTCATAAATCAGAAACTAATTTTTACGTTTATCAGAAGGTGTTTCATTAGGCCGTAAAAAAATCGTTAGTTTCACTCATTTTTTTGTTATCATGGTTATAGCATATCTCATCAAACAGCAAATGATTTCTATGTTTATCAACAGCTCTTTTATCATGTTGTAGAAACTTATCAATTCTGCTCATTTTTTCGTTATAATGGTTATAGCAAACTTTTCGATCAGCAAACGATTTCTACGTTTATCAAGAGCTCTTTCATGAGACTAAGGAAAACCATCAAATCTTCTCCTCTTTTTTTGTGATCATGGTTATAGCCAAACTCATAATTAACAAATGATTTCTACGTTTGTCAATAGTTTTTTCGTGAGGCTGCAGAAACCGTCAATTTTGCTTCTTTTTTTGTTATAATTATTATAGCCAAACTCATCAATCAGCAAATGATTTATAGGTTTATTAAGATCTCTTTCA